GGTCGAGGCTGTGGTGGCCGGGAGCGGCCACTGCACTCCAGTCTGGGTAACAGAGTGAGATTCCAACTCAAAAAAATGAAAAATAAATAAAGAAATAAAATAAAAAAAGAAATTAGTTTCAAAATATGACTCTCTAATATGGTTGCTGTCCCTCTCCATCCTGTGGTGGTTAGGAGCACTGGATTTGGGGTCACACGTACCCAGGCTCCATACAGGCTCCACCACTGCCCAGCTATGTGATCGCTGTGAATAAGTGAATTCTGGCCTCAGACTCCACCTTTGTAAAGTGGAGATAATCACAGTATTTAGCCCATAGAATTGCTGGGAAAATTATTAGGGAGCGTGTAGATAGTGCACTGAGGAGAGCCTGGCAGCAGTGCATACTCCCTGAAGGCTGGCTGTTCCTGTATTTAGTATGTTTTTACATTAAGTGGAAGAGAGCTGAGTGATGGTACAGTTGATTTTCCAGGCATTACAAAGAGCCCACTGACCACATTATCTATGCTACAGCCGGGGCCAAGCAGCCATAACTTAGAGAATGGCAGTGGGGGCTTTGAGTTTTTGCAGTATTTTACTTACCAGCACCTATGTGAGGGGTTTTGTTAACAGCTGGATATACCCACCTGAGTGTGTCATCAGCGAATGTCACCCAGGGTCACAGAAAAGGTTGAGAGCAACTGATAGATAGCAACAGACTGACTGTAAGAACGTGGGCCAGTCCCTTTGTGTCCCAGGCCTCTGTCAAATGAGGATGAGTTTTGGTAGGTCCCGAGGAAGCGCAGTGAAGTGGTCCAGCCCAGGCTCTGATGCGGGACATCTCAGTCTGTTTTATGCTGTTATAACAGACTACCACAGACTGGGTGATTTACAACAAACAGAAATTTATTGGACTTATGGTTCTGAAGGGCTGAGACGTCCAAGAGCAGGCTGCCAGCATCTGGCAGGGTCTTCCTAAGGAGCCATCCCACGGCAGAAGGTGGAAGGGCAAGGGGGGCTGAGCTGGCTTTTATTTATTTATTTGATTTAGTTTTTGTTTGTTTGTTTTAGTCAGGGTCTCACTCTGTCACCCAGGCTGGAGTGCAGTGGCATGATCACGGCTCACAGCAGCCTCGACTTCCTGAGCTCAGGTGATCTTCCCTCCCCAGCCTCCCAAGTAGCTGGGACTACAGGCATGTGCCACTATGCTGGGCTAATTTTTTAAAATGTTTTTGTAGCGACAAGGTCTTACTATGTTGCCCAGGCTGGTCTCAAACTCCTAAGCTCAAGCAATCCTCCCACCTTGGCCCCCCAAAGTGCTGTGATTACAGGCGTGAGCCACCACATCCAGCCTCAAGCTGACTTTTATTTTATTTATTTATTTATTTATTTGAGTTGGAGTCCCACTTCTGTCATCCAGGCTGGAGGGCAGTGGCATGCTCCCGGCCACTGCAGCCTCGACCTGCTGGGCTCCTGAGATCCTTCTGCCTCAGCCTTCCAAGTAGCTGAACTACAGGTATACGCTACCACGCCCAGCTAATTTTTTATTTATTGTGGAGATGAGGTCTCACCAAGTTGCCTGGGTGGGCCTCGAACCCGTGGGCTCAGGCAGTCCTCACTTTGACCTCCCAAAGTGCTGGGATTGCAGGCTGAGCCACTGAGCCTGGCCTCAAGCTGACTTTTTTTGTTTTCTTTTTTCTTTTTTAGTTGGAATCTCACTCTGTCACCCAGACTGGAGTGCAGTGGCTCCTCCCGGCCACCGCAGCCTCGATCTGCTGGGCTCCGGCCATCCTTCCACCTCAGCCTTCCAAGTAGCCAGAATTACAGGCATGTGCTACCACGCCCGGCTGATTTTTTTTTAATTTATTGTAGAGATGAGGTCTCTCTGCCCAGGTGGGTCTTGAACCCGCGGGCTCAGGCAATCCACACACCTCAGCCTCCCAAAGGCACGGGATTACAGGCTGAGCCACTGAGCCTGGCTTCAAGCTGACTTTTATAACAAACTCGCTCTTGAGATAACTGACCGACTCCCTCAAGAACAACTTTAATTCATTCATGAGGGCAGAACCCTCATAACCTAATCACCCCTCTTTGGGCTTCAGCTCCTGACACTGTTGCATTGGGGATTAAGTTTCCAACATGTGAACTCTGGGGACATAGTCAGAACATAGCACCCCCCAACCCCACCTGGCTCTGTCTTTGCCCCAGGGCTGCTTGAGCGCCCGGTACTGCCCCCACCTGTGGCCGTTGACACTGCCAGCTACAAGATCTTCGTGTCCGGGAAGAGTGGTGTGGGCAAGACGGCACTGGTGGCCAAGCTGGCTGGCCTGGAGGTGCCCGTGGTGCACCATGAGACCACCGGTGAGTGCAGCCCCCACCCTTTGCCCATCCTAGCATAGAGGTTAAAACCTGGCCCTGGACTATTCAAGCAGGGGTTGATATCTGGCTCTACCACTTACTCTGTGACCTTGGGAAGTCACTTCATCCCTCTGAGCCTACCATGGCACCTCTGTCGCAGGGGATCACAGTACCAACCCCACAGAGTTGTTGTGGGATGGGTGCTAGAGATGGTGGCAACATGCCTAGCATCGAGCGGGTCGAGATGAATGTTCTGGAAATGCGCGTCTTCCTTTCTCGTTTCTTTCCGCTGAATGCTGATGTTGCCTCTTCCCCCAGTGTCCCAGGACCTGTGGGTCTCCTTGTAGGTCCAAGTGAAACTGCTTTGTCAAGGCAAGGGCTGCATCTTCCCAGTATGCCAGTGGCTCCCCGCAGGGCAGGCTCTGTTTCTCCCATCAGACCGAGAGTTCTCCCAGGCCAGGAACTGCGTTCCTCATCAGACTGGGGCTGCCAGGGCAGCGGGTGTATCTATCTCTTCTTCGAATTCCTCCCTGGTCCTTACCCCTCTCCGCCTCCACCACTCCCTTGCCTGATGGCTGACTCCAGCCCCCCTCAGGCATCCAGACCACCGTGGTGTTTTGGCCGGCCAAGCTGCGGACCAGTGACCGTGTCGTCCTGTTCCGCTTTGAATTCTGGGACTGCGGAGAGTCTGCGCTGAAAAAGTTCGATCACATGCTGCCGGTAAGCAGGCAGGTGGACTGGGTGGGCTTCAGGAGGCCTGAGGTGAACTTCTGAGTACAGGTGTCTGAGTTGGGCCTACCTTGTCTGCAGGGGCCAGAGTTGGGTATTAATGAGCTCAGGGCATTGCCCTGGGTGGTGGAGCTGTCACTGGGGACTAAGTCCCAGCCTGGGCTCTGCCCAAGACCAGCCACTCCCTGCTCTGGGCCTCAGTTTCCCAGTCTGTTACTGATTCTCCTCAGGGCCCTGCAGCTGATAGGAGGGCTGCATGGTTCTATGCCTCCCTGTCCCCAGGCTTGCAAGGAGAATGCCGATGCCTTCCTCTTTCTCTTCTCCTTCACTGACCGTGCCTCCTTCGAAGACCTTCCTGGACAGCTGGCCCGTGTAGCCGGCGAGACCCCTGGTGTTATTAGGATGGTCATCGGCTCCAAGTATCCTCTGGTCGCTGGGACTATCAGAGGGCACCCTTGGCAAGCCATGGAGTAAAGGGGTCAATCGTGGGCTTTTTCTTAGAGGGTGAGGTGTGGCTGTCCCAGACCCTGGGTGTGGGCTCCAGGGAGGGAGTGGCTGGGTCTGATGGGGGTGGTGAGCAGAGGCGCCTGGCCAGGCTCCTTAACCTTCCTCCAGGTTTGACCAGTACATGCACACGGACGTGCCAGAGCGCGACCTCACGGTCTTCCGACAGGCCTGGGAGCTGCCCCTGCTGAGGGTGAAGAGCGTGCCGGGGCGGCGACTGGCTGATGGGCGCACGCTGGATGGGCGGGCTGGGCTGGCTGACATTGCCCACGTGCTCAATGGCCTCGCTGAGCAGCTGTGGCTCCAGGACCAGGTGGCAGCTGGCCTGCTTCCCAACCCCCCCAAGAACACCCCTGGGGGAAAGGTGGTGACATCATGAGTGGGCGCCTGTGACCCCCACCCCCAACCCTTAGGTGACCCGGGTGGAAGATAGGATCTGTGGCCTAAGGCTGGGGCAGAATTTTTCATCCCATCCTGAGGACTGGCCAGAGAGGCCCAGGCATGGAGGACACAGCCTGAGGAGGCCCCTGCCCAGGACCCTGTCTTTACAGAACTCATGGTGGTGGGTCCCGGGAACACAAGGCCCCCCACTGCCCTGCCCCTTCGGCAGCCCCCGTGGAGGGTGACTGGGGATGGGGTGCCGCAGAGGGCCCTGGGTCTCCGGTGACTTCAGTGAAGAGCTTGTGTTGGATGGGGTGGAACCATCTGGTGTAACAGATAAACCCTGGCATCCATAGAAGTGCTTCTTCCCGAGTCTCATCCCACGAGGTGTGGAGTGGGGGGTGGGGCTCTGCTCCAGGGCGCATTCAGTGACCCAGGCCTGGACCCTCCAGAGTTCCCTGGGGCATCCACACCCAATCAGCAGGCAGGCAGGGCAAGGGAAGATCATGCGGGTTCTGTGGACCAGGCCTAGGGTTGTGCACTTCATCTGCCCAGGTGTCACTGGCCAGCACCCAGTCATGTGGTCACACAGCACTGTGAGGAGGCTGAAATGTATCTACCTGTGTCCAGGCACAGGTGCTTTGCGGGATCTCTCTTGATCATGAAGCTATCAGGCCACGCTTGGGAAAGGGTCCTGCTGGCCTGGGGAATCAGAAAGCAGCACCGAGCCTGGCCAGAGACCATACCAGGTGGAGGTCGGGTGGCTCCGCCCCATGGGAAGCCAGCAGGGACAGCTTTTGTCTCAGCCTTGCCCTATCAGCTAGAGACACTGGTGGCTGTAGGATAAAGGGGGGGAGAGGAAGGTGTGGGGGAGGGGCCTTCATACTCTCTGATGATCCCCTGCCTGGCCCCTTAGACCCCTGGGCTGAGGCCTGGCCTGAGTCTGACCCCAAGCAAGGGTACCCCAAGCCAGCTGGCCCTTAGCCTCCTCTTAAGGAGGCAGCCCGGCAGCTCTGCACAGCCCCAAACACACAGCACCACCCTGAGTGCACCCACAACCAGGGCCGGGTCAGAGGAGGCCTGTCCTGACAGCCACATGCCTGTGCCCACTGTTTGCGTGCGCTGCACTGTCAGTCTGTCCACCTTGAGCACTGTCCCCTCGGTTTGTCAACCTTCCAGGATCTGGACCCAAAAAAGGACTGAATTCAGAGCTCAGCCCTTGAGCTCATCCCATATCTCAGGCCTCAGAGCCTGCAGGCCACTTCTGCCCCTGGATGGCGGGCCTTCCCACCGCAGCCCTCAGCACAGCTTCCAGGCGACCTGCTTGGCAGATCCCCTCCGTCCATAACGCCAGACCTACCTCACCTGGGCTGCAACAGAGTGTGAAGGTAGGGCCGGCAAAGGCAGCCCTGGCCTGTGACCCTCCAGCTACAGACACCTGTGTTTTGAGCACCAGCTGCCCTGTGTCCAGCCAGTTCTCTCTGGGCATACCCCCTCAGGAAAGGAGGCCCCCCATCCTGCTTGGGCATCAGCTCAGCCAGAAGCCAGAAAGCCGCTCTAGACGTCTAGCCCAGACTCTCCCTACTGCAAGGCTTCCTCCTGGCAGGCGCTGCTCTGGTCAGAGAACTGACCCCTCACCCACCTTCACCCCAGCCAAGGGGCATCTTAAGGGCAGAGTGGGGAGGGCAAGGGGAAGGGCACTGGGCTTACCACCTGGCCACCAGCAGCTTTCTCTGTTCCCACCAGCCCAGGGCTACTTAAGTATTTAGTAGCCTACCCCCAGGGGTCTCCATCACTGTCAGAACTGGGAGTGAGGGAGGGTGGCAGCTGCAGCAGAGCCCTGGTTGTTTTTTGTTGTTGTTGTTTTTGAGTTGAGGTCTTCCTCTCTCACCCAGACTGGAGTGCAGTGGTATGATAATGGTTCACCATAGCCTCGAACTCATGGGCTCAAGCGATCCTCCCACCTCATCCTCCCAAGTACCTGGGACTATAGGCACACGCCCCCATGTCGGCTAATTTTTTGGTTTTTTATATTTTTTTGTGTATGAGGTCTCGCTACGTTGCCTAGGCTAGCCTCAAACTCTTGGGCCCAAGCAGTCCTCCCGTCTCGGCCTTCCAAGGTGCTGGGATTATAGGCTAGAGCCACTGAGCTCACTCTGTTGCCCAAGTTAGAGGGCAGTGGCACACTCACGGCCTCCACAACCTCTACCTGCTGGCTCAGGCAATCCTTTGGCTTCAGCCTTCCAAGTAGCTGGAACCACAGGTGTGCGCCACTACGCCCAGTTTTTTTTTTTTGTTTTTTTTTTTTTTAATTGTAGAGACGAGGGCCGGGCTGGGTGGCTCAGCCTGTAATCCCAGCACTTTGGGAGGCCGAGGTGAGAGGATTGCCTGAGCCCGCGGGTTCAAGATCCACCCAGGCAACTTGGTGAGACCTCTACAATAAATCAAAACAGCCGGGCGTGGTAGCGCGCGCCTGTAATTCCAGCTCCTTGGAAGGTTGAAGTGGAAGGATCACCTGAGCCCAGGTCGCGGCTGCGGTGGCCGGGGCCGTTCCACTGCACTCCAGTCCGGGCGACGGAGACTCCAACTCAAAAAAAAAAACAACAACAACAATTGTAGAGACGAGGTCTCGCCAAATTGCCCAGTTTGGTCTCGAACCCTGGGCTCTTGCCTCCGCCTCCCCAAATGCTGAAGTTACAGGCATGAGCTACCGTGCCTTAAAGCGCTTTCGAAGGTGGAGCGGGCACACGCGAGACCCGGGATCAGTCACCTCGCGGTCAGGTTCGTAAAGGGAGGGGCTTGAGGGTCTGGCCCGCCTC